GAGTCAGCTTTGTTATACGTCGTGCGTCTTTTTCAACATTTTCTCTTTCTTGTTTTCTCTTTTCTTGCAATTCAAAAATGTAACGTTCAAATGAATTGTCGCCAACTGATAAAGCCGGTTTTTCGCCAATCATTAGAGGACCCTGAAAATGAAATGGTGTATGAAGGCGGAAAGTTGTCAGAGGTCCTCCGTAAGGTTTGATGTCTCCTTCGACATTGACTAGCCCGCCTTTGCCAAGCAGTCCAGTTAGATTCTCAAGAACTGCTCTCGCCCTGAGGGCAGCTGCAGAAACTAAATGCGACAAAGCTATTTCATTTGGAGATTCTTCCAGTTCGTACTTTTTAGAACGCCTTGGTTTTTCCAAATATTCGCTCTCCTCTTCGTCGTAGTCGCTACCCCTATATTTCGTTAGAGCACAAGCGCCCTTAGTATAATCTTCGTCATCAGTACTTTCGTCTGAGATATAATCAGGAGAACGTTTCTTTCTCAAAGCTTTCAATAACTGGCCAGGTTTGCCGGTCTTCTTTGGTCTTGCAACGACACTAGTCTCATAATCTTCATCAGCACTGAGATCGTCGTATTCCAAATAAGGGTTTTTGTAAATGCTTTTCTTTGGTATAGGTATTGGTGTAGGTATTGGTGTAGGTACTGGCTTAGGTAATGGAGTATGTAACACGTCAACTGTCAGAGGAGATGTCAAATCGAATTGATTCTCATATTCTTTTTCAGGCCATCTAGATTTTATATAATTTGTCAACGGAGAAACCGAAAAAAAATCACTTTTCAGATCGCGAGGTGACGTAATGGCGCTTGTTGCGATAGTGTCTAGATCAGAACCGATTCCAAACGTTCTGTGTCTGTTAACCAAACTTCTGGCTTGCTCTACTACAGGCGATACTCTGTCAATGCCGAGTAACTTCGACGTTTCGCTGGAGTCTGGGACCTTGACCAGCTGGAGAGATTCAGCCGGCTTAGGTCTGTTTTTTTTCTGATATTCAGCCGGCTTGGGCAATTGTAGAGAGTCGTCAGACAGTTTCGATAGCTGGAGAGAGCCAGACGGTTTAGACAATTTGAGAGAATCTGACGGCTTAGATGTTTTCAGGGAGTCGGAAAGCTTGGATAATTTGAGAGAGGCAAGCGGTTTGGGCATTTTCTCAGAGCTAGACAGCTTGGATAATTTGGGAGAAGCAGGCAGTTTGGACGTCTTAAAAGAGTCAGACGTCTTTGAGATTTTCAGAGAGTCTGACAGCTTAGATAATTTGGGAGAGCTGAGCGGTCTGGATGTTTTGAAGGAGTCAGACATCCTTGATGTTTTCAGAGAGTCAGACAGCTTGGATGTTTTCAGAGGATCAGTGCCAGAAGTATCAAGCCTAGTGCTTCTACGGGTTTTGTGCTGGAGCTGGGTGATGCTTCGGGGTTTGCTGCTTCGGCTGGACAACAATGGTGACGTCAGAGGGCTGTCAGTGTGCTGTGTATGAACAGGCGGGTGTATTAGGCTAACAAATTTCGAATTATATGAAATAAAAGCGCTCTCTGCAATGAAAATGTTACTAAACAGCAAAATGGTAATGTATAAAATTTTGATTAAGCTTATCTAAGCATAAATATTTTAAATTTATTAAAGCTTTTGAAAAGGTTTAAAAACGAAGTTTTGCTTACAGGGATTTTCAGTTAATACATGACGAAGTGTCATTTTTTTTTTTAAAATCCTATTATTCATGAAAAGAGTGGAACTACTTTTCAGTTATTTAGTTTTCTTCATAAGATTTCTATCTGACATCCATTTCCCCTGTGTATAATTTTCTCCCAACTATCATAAAACATGAAAAGTTACCTTACATCTACGAGTGTTATTATGTTACTTGCAGAGGACTACTGAATTACCCGGAAAGCACCGGGATACTTAATCTTAATTCAAATTTATCGGGACATAATAAAGGTACATCTTTGAAGCTGTTGTCTCATTGACATTAGCAATGACGACATCTTCTCGGGCGAGAACGTTTACATGAAATATTTTTACTTTATAAAGGCAGAATTTTACGTCTTGTCGTATTGACAAGTTCAAGGATCTAAGACAGTTATCTCCAAACATTTTTTCTCGGACCGTCGGTCACATCGTATATTCTAAGCATGTTTGTGGTCCAAAGAAAAAAAAATTATCTAAAAGTTATCTAAATGAATAAATTTTATCTGGATTTAAAAAAATATATCAACAAGACATGATTCAGAACGGTAAGAAACATATATTGTGGTGGGTCAGATTGTTGGCTTTAATTTGGAGACCTTTAATTTAAGATAGAATTTGATCATTTTTTTAATTTTGTAAAACAAATTATTTTATTCTTAAGACTTTATTACAGCTTTTAGTTTCTTTTATTTGATATCTCTTACTTATTTAAAGTTAAATTTGGAACCCATGGTGTTCTATACTAGAAGTCGACTCATGGTGCAACTAATGATCAGGAAGCCTATTTTAATAGATTCTCTTTTGGCTGGGAGTGACGCATTTTAGTTACTGTTTGCAGTAGTTCGCTTCTGTGGTCTGCTCACGAAATCCAAAGAAACTTTTGCATTTGGAATAACTTTAGCTTAGCTTATTGAAGATTTGTTTTATCAGACATGCTATATTATTTTATGTTGAATTCAAAAAGAAACTTTCAGTTAAAAAAAAAAAAAAAAAAAAAAAAAAAGTCACTTTAATTTTTAAATTTAAAAAATATTCGAAAATTGTAGTCCTAAAGCTTTTCATTTAAAGATAATTCAATATTTTTCTCTATGAACTTTTATGAATAGAAGCAAACGGACTGATGATAAATGTTAATTTTTTGTGTAATCTGTATTCCTGTTTGTAACAGGTAAAAATATTTTTTTATTTTTACCACCTTTCTCATACCATAATGTAAAATTTTACACAACAAAATTAAAAGAAAAAAATAAAATGAAAATCTAGACAAGGTAGTAACCAAAAATGCGTAATTTTACTTTATTTAGAGAAATAATTTATTTGTACTAAAGGGTTTTCCAATAACTTGGATCGATTTAAATGGGAATTAAGTTTAAACGTCTAATGAACTTTCTTTTTCTTTCAGATTTGGCGGACATTTGGGCGATATTATTTTTTTTACACATAATTGCCATGACTTAAATAACATGATCCAATAGAGAAATAAATAAATTTGTATCAATAACACTGATTTATTTACTACTGACTTTGATCCGTCTTAATGAAACACCCTTATATATAATCCCTCTTAATGCAACACCCTTTATATACATTGTTCGGACTGTTGCCTCACCATTATTGTCATATTCATAACATTTCGGCCGTTGTACACTCCGGCCTTCTTCAGGGGATATACGTTGAAATTTCGAACCGGACCATTCATTTCGTCCACTGGGGTAAATTGCTCTAGTCCCACATGACATAACTAATATCCAGAAAAAGTTATTTCCCTTTAGTAACTAAACTCTCCAAGTTTTTGTCCACCTCTGCTGTGGCCAGGTATTGAACTCACAACTCTTTTGGGTTAAGTCACTGGATTACTTCAACCAACAGTTTTATCCAGTGGACCATGGATATCATGTAATCCAGCGACTCGACTCAAAGAATTGCATGTTCAATACCTGGCCACGGCAGAGGTGAACAAAAATTTAGAGAGATGAGTTACTAAAGGGACATAACTGAAACTGAGATATCAGGAAAAGGCGTGGTACGTGGAACTAGAACAATCTACCCCGGTGGACGAAATAAAGGGGTCAGTTACAAATTCCAAATATATTCCCTGAAGAAGGCTGGAGCGCACAACGTCCGAAATGTTGTGAATATGACACTGAAGATGAGGACAACAATCCGAATAATGTAAATTCGGTAGTACAATACCGCATCTCAGAAATATAAACAGAATAATTTATTAACACGATTTTCTTCTTACAAATGTTACAGAAACACGAAACAGAAACACAATTAATTTTAATAATATTTTAAGTTTATCTGTCTATATTTCTGACATGAGGTATTATGTACACTATTTACATTGTTCGGACTATCATACTCATCTTTGTTGCTATATTTATCACAACGTTTTGGCCGTTGTACGCTTCAGCCTTCTTCAGGAGGTTGGAATGTCGAACTGAACCCTTTATTTTTCTCGCTGGGATAAATTTTTCTTGTTCCACGTCTAATGTATGTGAGTTATTATTTATCTTCTGTTAATTCCTCTCTCCATGTTCTCCACCGCCTTAACCAGGTATTGAACTCACACTCTTTGGGTCCTGTCACAGATTTATTTATCACCTTTATCCACTGTGCCATACCTGAAGGACACATGGCACAGTAGATAAAGGCGTTGGTTAGATCCAGTGACAGGACTCAAAGAGTGTGAGTTCAATACCTGGTTAAGGCGGTGGAGAACATGGAGAGAGGAATTAACAGGAGATAACTGATATTCATTAGACATGGTACATGGAACTAGAACAGTCTACCACAGCGAGCGAAATAAAGGGTTCAGTTCGACATTCCAACCACTCGAAGAAGGCTGGAGCGTACAATGGCCGAAACGTTGTGATAAATATGGCAACAAAGATGAGGATGATAGTCCGAACAATGTAAATAGTGTTTTATGTTTAATTTTTAACAAACTTTTCTTCCGAAAACCTTTTCGCTCGAGTATGTTCACAATATAAAATTTATTTAAAATGCCTTCATTTCTCACAAAGTTAATTAAATAGTTTTCTCTATTATATTGCTATTCATAACAAATATATTGATGACAAATTTTTTTTCTGAGTAACTTGTGTTTTTCTAAAAAGGTATTTAAAAGAATTATGTTGAATTTTAGTTTAGTTTACCATTAAAAACATAAAATAGAAACAAATATATTTTTATACTAAAAAAATTAATGGAAAATAGTAATTTAAGAATGCTTAACTTAGAAAATTTCTGAAATTCAAACATTTTGAAATAAGCTTCCAGTTCTGGTCCTTAACTGCGCCATGAGTAGGCATGTAGTTTAGAACACCGTGTTGGTATATTCTAATAATTTCGCCCCTATTTTAACCCTTAGGTCGATACTCTATGTACCAAAAATATAAGGACAAGATGTATAATTATTTTACTTTTAGTTGCTACCATTGGGCTAAATGCAAACAATTATATTTGAGAAAATAGCAGGAAAGGGCTGCTCCGTAGATAGATATTTACTCAATTTGGTAAGGTTTGGCACAAGTTCAAGTGTTTTTGGTCACCCATGGAGAATCGAACTCATTATTCTAGGAATGGTTTGTGAGAATATCTTGCTAAACATTGCTCCACTACCAGGAACTCTGCATAAGACATATTTAAAATCTCGCTCAAAATGTGGGGGGTTTATTCAAGGCCAGATACACTCTTAGTGAGTTGGGGAGATTTCAGTCGCTTAAATTAATTGCCTCTGAAAATTACTTCGGGTTATTATTTTTTACTAAAATGTTACTGTGTCGACATTTTAAGTGATTTTACACAGCGTAAAGGAGTTGCTGAAAACAATATTAGAAGGGAAGCTGTGAAGAATAATGATCTTTCACGTTCTGGAAGAACATGGCATTTTTTTTCTAAACGTTATTTTAGCGGATACCCATGTTTGAGTAAAAGCCCTGCATTTTAACAGTGTGAACTACACATTTGAAAAACTTAATAAAGGGAATTTGCTTTTTAATTTATTAAGTCTCTCGAGTGCGAAGGCCAGTTTAAAAAAAAATGAACAAAAACAGAGCGTCTAAGAGTAATGAAACAATGATGGATTAAAACTATAATCCATTCCTTAGAATGTATTTGGCTGAACTAATTACCGACATTTCTTTCTGTGCCAAATGAGTTCTATGTTGGATCTGAAGAGACGTCCGCAGTCACCGCATAGTCGGGTATGAGGTCTCAGGGGATAGGGAGCTCTTACTTTTCTTTGGACTCTCTTCGTCTCTTCTATTTGTCTTTTGGTGTTTTCAAAGCGTGTTTTTACGAGAACTGCTCTTCTCCAATTGGTTCTTTCTGCAATTTCCGTTACCCAATTGACCGGATCGATTTCTCTCCTCACCAAGGTGTTTTTGAGCGGATTCTTGAATCGACAACGTGGGCCTCGACATGGTCTTTTTACCAGATGCGAGCACCGAAACATATATGTTGGTGCGTGCTGAAATGTTCTCGCCTCGACCAAAAGTTGACCAAAGGACAGATTTAGGGAAATAAGTCGGGCCGAAAACTTTTCACCAGCTCCCTCTCGTGTGTGTGCGTTGAGGTTAAATGTGAAAAAACAAACATTAAGTTTGTATGTACCAAGCTCCTTCAAGGTCATGACTCTCCACAGCTTCTTGTCTTCTTTTATTGCTCTATGTTATACCATTTAGCACCCCTACTTGTCCTACTACCGATTCATATGAAATCCTTAATTTGGCTAATCGCTGCATTCCCAGCTTATTTTGTTTTCTGAAAAT